GCTATTTATTCACTTGGTCGTAACAATATTTTGCAGACTCTACGCTTTGCAGAGAGTTTCTGGGCGCCTGTGTGGTTACGAGACGACAGTTGAATTACCATTCGCTACGTTGCTTTATTCATCACAGCGGGCATTCATTTTTCTGTTTTTGCTAGCAGCCGCTTTCTGCTTCCATTCGTCGCTGCCTTCACAGCAGAAGGAATTCCCTCGGCTTGGCACTTATCATGGAAATCGGCGGTGCCGTGGTACTTGCGCCAGTGGGCTGCGTTTCTGTTTGCGCTCTTCATTTTTACCTCTTCCACCTGACATGGACGCTTTACTGCTGCGTTTCTCGTCCGTCTGAGCTTGTCGTATTGTTGTCACTTTCTTCGGGAGACGGATGATTGCCTTTTTTGAGAGGTCCGCTAAATGTGCTGAACGCGGTTTGAATTCCTAGCTTCATTTATCGCAGTTTACTCTGAATCAGTTTTGTAATTGGCTGTGCTGTTGGTGCGATGTGTCCGTGTTGTCAGAGTTCCGTATTTTCAGGCGAATAATTTTGAAAGCATGAGTGCTGTTGATGAGACGTACAATGAACATTGGCTGAGGGAGTGTATGATTGTTGAGGACCCGGTGCGGCTGGATGAAATCCCGTTTGGAACAGTTTGTTTGGCTCGGCCCAGCAACGCGTTAGAGTTTATTCGTTGTGAAGTCGTTCGACGCGTAAGTTTTCCCTTCCGCTGCACTGCTATTGATATTTGCCTCGGAAAGTAGCATCTTTATTGGTAAGTGATGCGCACCAGTGATAGAAGTTCAGTGCAGTATAAATGTTGATGAATCAGAAGTTATGTGGTCAGTGCAGCTGGCAGCTTTCCATGGTTGCGGCGAGGGGGGGGGGAAATGAAACAATTACAAAATATAAGAAATAAAATTACAAAATTATGAGAGATGAAACAATTAAAAAAATATAAGAATTTTTATCTGACATTTGACATTAACTGGCAGATGCTTTAGAACAAATTTTTTTATGCTGATGGCGAGAAATTCGTGTAATCGTTGTTAAGGTGTCGCTGCGCGAATATGGCGTTATTTTTGATGATGGACATGAAGAAAAAGTTGATATTTCATGCATTGCGAGAAAAGTTGCAGGCCATTTGCTGTCTTGGGAAGGAGTACGCGTGTGCGCCTTTTACAATCCAAAGTAAGTTTTGCTTGTAATCAGTTCGGCCATCCATGTTCCTCTCGTTTTCTCGCCCACCAGTTTCTTCATAGCGTCATCCTCTCTCCGTAACTTCATAATGGCTATAAAAAGAGCAGTGAAGTGTCGACATATGAGAAGGAAGAGCGGTACAGTTAAATTTTATGACCCCCTGCACTCAACAGATTTCCTGTCGGAAATGTCACACCCAACATTTCTAGCAGTTTTTCAAGCGTTTTTCAATTTATTTGGTTTTGCTTCCTGTCGTAGCAGCTCCCAACGAATTTTAACTCATTTTCTTGTAGGTATTTGGACCGCTGCTAAATTATTGAGGTGCGGTACTGCCTTTCTAGTAGTTGCCGAGTTAAATATCTCTTCGTTGTACTAATTTGTTCTGGTTGTGCTTAAATGAGAATACAATAATTCCAGCCACCTCTATAAAAAAATTTTTTTTTGTTTCAGGCTTCCAACCGATCCGTTCAAGAAGGCGTTTTATCCAGGCATAGTTGGCCTTGGACCACATGGAGTGGCCGTGAATCAAATGCTGGTAGTTTTTATGTAGAGTGAACTTTTAAGACGCTTTTTGGAAAACTGTTATTTTATAGTCTGGCTGTCTTTCTGTATAACTAACAACTTTTGCAGTTATTTAATCAGTGCTATATTATTTAATACTCAGCCTGCTGCCCGTCTTGGCTTTTCTTTCACCCCATAAAAGAATTAGTAGCCCCCGGAGTGTGTGAAATATGTTCGGCTGCAGTAAATAGAGCAAGCACGTGGATTACCCAAGGAAGAACTTGCACAAAAGTGTTGTACCTTTGGGAAATGTTGGGAAGAAATGAGAATGAGGATGTGGGAGAACATAACGAAGTCTATTCAGCTTTGCGTTTTTGCAGATTGGTATTTTATTACATTTCTAGATATTTTTCGATGATGGTTTTGATGCTTTCACGCCCGAACGATTCGTTTGCCTTCTTGTCGAGCAGAAATATAAGCTTCGCAATGGCAAAGAAGTAAGTCGTTTCTGTTTTTGGATTAGCTCATTTATAATAAATTCCCCGTTAAGTGAAGATCTCGTAGTAC